CACCATCAGAGACTCTGGAGGGCTCTCCTTGACAAATGATAATTTAACAAAGTCACAACAAGTAACGATGTTGAGAGTCTTTTCATATGATTATTGTCATCACTGTTTCTTCTTTGGTGACATGTCTGTTGAAATCATGTATTATTTTAGATTGTAAGAATTGTTTATATATTCTATACACAAGGCTTTGTTGGTATAAGATAATATTTCACTCAGTCTGTGATTTGTCTTTGTATTTTCTTAAAAGAGTCTTAGGAGTATTTTTAGTTTTTTGAGGAACCTCCATTTTCCTTCCCACAATGGTTGAACTAATTTACATTCCCACCAGCAGTGTAGGAGGGTTCCCCTTTCTCCATATCTCGCCAGCATTTGTTGTTACTTGTCTTTTCAATGTTGACCATCCTAACTGGTGTGAGATGATATCTCAGGGAAAGTTTCAAGTTTTTTGAAAGTCAAATTAATAACCTTCTTTTTCTTTTTTATGCTTTTTGTGTGCTATTTTAAAAATCCTTGATTAATATCTTTTCCTCAACAAGAATTTTATCTCTAACATTTAGGTCAATGATCCATTTTGACTTAAGTTTTTCAAATAATGTGAGGAAAGTGTCAATGGTCTTTTATGTAGGTATGCCTTTACAGGTTTACTCATTTACTCATTTATTCATTTGTTCACATGGCTTTCCAGCTGTTTCAGGATTATATGTTGAAAAGATTATTCTGTTCCACTGGTTTGCATGCATCTTTGTTGAAAGTCAATTGATAACATATGTAAAGACTCTTTCCCAATATTCTACTCTGTCCTATTGATCTCTATGTATTTTTGCACCAATATCATGTAGTTTTCAGTATTACAACTTTATTATGTATTTTTTTGATATCAAGTAATGTAAGTCCTTCAGATTTTTTCTTTTTCAAAATTGTTTTGAATGTCTTAGATAAACTGTGGAATAAACTCATCAGTTTCCACAAAGTAACCTGCTGAGAATTTTATAGGGACTGTGCTGAATCTATACAGTACTATGGAATGAACTAACATTTTAAGAATATTGATTATATCAAAGGACACAGTATATCTTTATGTTCCTTTGGCTGTTCTTTAGTTTTTCTCAGAAACATATTGCAGTTTTCAATGTGCTGGACTTAACACTTATTTTATCAAGAGTATAACTAATTTATTATGTTTTTAACTACTTAAGTGATATTAATTAAAATAAAATTTCCAGCTGATCATTGCTAGCATCAATAAATAGAATGAATCGCATGTTGACTTTGTACCCTATCTTGCTAAACTCAGTCATTAGTACTAAAATGCTTTTTCTGGTTCCTTAGGATCTTCTACATAGACAATAATGTTTCTGTGAACAAAGACACTGGTATTTCTTCCATTGCTGTATGATTGAAGGTAGTTTCCTATTTTTTTTTCTCCTTATTGAGCTGGTTAGGATAATCATGCTTTAAAAAATATTTTAATATGGTGAATTACATTGATTTTCGAATATTACATAAACTTTGCAATACTGGGCCAGGGTGGGGACATATACCACATGGTCTTTGTGTCATCGCTTTCATGTATTGTTAAATTTGACTTGTTAAAATTTTGCTTAGAATTTTTGAGTCTGTGTTCATGAGCTACTGATGTGTACTTCTCTTGGAATGTTTTCTTCTGAGTTAGCTCTGGGGATTGGTGGCCTCACACAGTGAACAGATGTGCAGAACTGATATATCTTGAGTCAATTTTTGAGTAAGCAAATTATGAAACTATCAACGGTTGGAGTTTTCCTTAAAGAAAATGTTCAATGACAAATTCAATTTCTTTAGTATTTGTAGGTCTACTCCATTTATGTGTTGTTTCTTGTACATACTTTGGTAATGAGTGAATGTATCCATTTCATCTACATTGCTGGATTTATTATCATAAACTTGTTAATAGTACTCCCTAATTAAGCTTTTAATATCTGTATAATGTAGAATGTTCATTGATGTCCTATCTCACCTTCTTGTTATTTGGTAATTTTTGTTTTCTTTCTCTATTTTATTGGTTGGTGTGGCTAAAGAATGATCATGATCATTTCAAGAACTAGCTTTACTTACATTCATACTATCTTTGTGTTGTGTGTTTTAATAATTCTTGCTTTTATCATTATTAACTTTCTTTTGCTTAATTTGGTTTTAATTGCTTTTCTTTGTTTTCTAACTTCAAGTTAGAAAGTTAAGTCACTGGTTTTAACAGTTATTCATGGGAATTTTCCCACATGAAAACTGATTAGCATTCAGCTGGAGAATCAAGAGAAATCCTCTTTAGATCTTGGTGAGGGGTTGTGCATACTGAACTCCTATGCTCTGCTTTGCAAATTTTCTTCCCTTGGCCTCCTTAAATCTGATCTCTATTTCTTCACTTAGGGAAATTGCCAAAATATATTTAAATTTCCTCTTCCTACACTACTTCCTGAACACTCTGTCTAGGCAACAGGTATGAATCATCTCATTTTTTTCTGTTCTCTCAGAGGTTAGTGTTTGTTGGCCAAAATTTGAAAACCACATTTCATCTACTTTGTCTAATACTTTGCTTGTTTAAATTGATAAGATTAATCTGGTTCTTGTTAACCCATCATGGCTAAAAGCCAAAGTGATTATTACCCTTTGGATATAGACACATAGTCCAACATTAAGAATTTATCTTTTCCTCTTTGAATTAGTATGATGCCAAATTCATTTAGAAATATATAACTGTGTTAATTAACATAGTCATGTCACCACAAGTATTGATAATAGAACATACATCTAGTTGAAACCCATAGAAATAATCTAAAAGACAGTAAGTCAGTCAACTATCTCTGCACTTTAACAGGTAATCAAACCAAGATCAAAATATTTATTCAATGTATTATTACTCCAGTTCTGATTCACATACTGGACTGATTAAGCCAATTATTTTCATTTAGTATTAAATAATTTTTTAGTATTAAATAATTCCTAGTTTTACTTCTGTCATTAAAAATACTACATTTAAACATGTGTGTTCCTAATATATGGCTTAGTGTTTATTTTATTTCTGTAAAACAAGCACAGTGTAATTCTTTTTGCAACTTCACATTCTTTGTCCCATATTTTATACCTCTCCCTAATAAAAATGATAACTCCCTTTCATCATACACTCAGATCTTTCAGCATCTCTAACTCCTGAATTCCACTGGACTGAATCCACAGGGTCTGAATCCAAGAACTTTTGTCCAGGTGATCAGGAGGAAGGTACTTATCATGACCTTGAAATGGTACCTTGACCCCCATGACAATCTACAAACTGTCATAACAACATAATGTTCCAACAGTTACAGCAGGAAAGGCAAATTCATTGGCATGAAAAAAATCTAATAACTAAAATAAATGAGTCCTATATATTTTGAAATGTAAATCTTGATTATATTTATTAAAAGTATGCATAAAAATGATAAAAGTCTCTGCATATAAAAATAAAATGATATTCCCTAGTGCCATCTTATGGAGAAACCAATGATTGCCATGCCATAATAATCTGTGATCTCCAATCTTTTATTATCTTTCTAATATATTCACTTACACACATACAAAACTCTGTCACTTTTGGTGAAGAATGCAATAAAAACAATATATTGAAGTGTATGAACTACATATGTTCCAATATCTACTTACAATACCCAGAGGTATATTTATATAAACATGGAATTTAAACCAACAGCAAAAAACATGCTGCATAAAAAATATTTTGGTCCAATTCAGTGGTGAATATATAATCACTAAGTATAGAGTGTGTCTTAGAGTCATTTGATACTTAAATAACAATGATATGCAGTTCGAATTTAGGACCTATGTTCTTTTATGATTTTCATGAGGCTGTAGGAATCTTCCATATTTTTAGTATGACTGGTTTTTAGGGGAGAAGAAATCTCCAACAGTGCTTAGGGAAATGCCCATTTTCCCTTCATCTAATCATTTGGACCTGGTGACTTATATATTAGAGATTATAGAGAAATCTGGATGAGAGTACACCAGCAACATGAAATTAAAATTCTTAAATCCACCTATGATGCCCAGAATTATTGGAGCTTCCTAGAAATTGTACTAATTCCAGATAGCATTGCAATAATTTTCATTCATTGTGAATTCTGCTAACAACGCTTGTCAGTAAGAGGAGGAAATAGATTTGATCTATTTATTACTAAAATTGTACTACCTGGAAAGAATTTCTGAGGTACTTATAATTCCTCATAGAAATTCTAGTAGTTCTGGTTAATATATGAATCACAGGGAAAGAATATGTCATTTTCTGGCTAGTTATGAATTCATAAAAGTTAATATTAAGTAAAAGAGATCAAAGATTTAATTGTGACCTTTTCCAGGCATAAATTAAAATGATTTTAGAGGTTAAAAAAAATCAGTAGAACCAGAGTTTATAGATTTGTCAAATGCCTTGTTTTAGAGAGACACTTTATAGATTATTTCCTTAGACTTGGTGACAACCGGCCTGTTACTCATAGAGTGTGCTACATGAAAGGACCGGTTTTCATAAAATGAAGAACCACTCAGAAACAAATATTTAAAATGCTCAAATAACTTTAGATTTGAAAGGAAACATGAAAAAATCTACTTCAACATCTCCACTTTTGTAGAAGAAACTGATCTCTCTTCTTTTTGCCCATTGTTTTAGCCTAATCACTTTGTACATTGAATGATTATGTGTACTTCTGTTGTACTCCAAATTTTATCAGTTATTCTTTGAATTTCAGTGCTATTGTTCATCAATCTAATTAGATATTTTTGTATTCTTTTAAAAAAAATTGCCAGTGGATTTTTTTATTTGAAATTTTATAGTCAGTTTATTTAGTTCAATGATGTAAGGTATCAGAAGAATATTCTCCTGAAAAACATTTTTTCTTAGAAAAAAAGAAAGGAAAATCACCAACTTCTCAGCATAGCCGCACATGCTGTAGCAGTCAAGACTCTCTGAAGAAGGGAACAGTCCATTAGTGAGTCAAGTCACTCTCTGGGTCAGCAGGATTGTAATCTGGATCATCCTCATTGTCCTCCAGCTCCACCTCATCCGTTTCCTGGAACAATGACTCATCTACCTCCACGTAGTTTCCAGCGTCCTCCAAGAACTGGATATCAGATGTATCAAGGTTATGATCTGTTTCAAGTAGCTGTTTTCCACTTAATTTATTTTTTCCAGCTTGCTCTTCTTTCATTTGTTTCTTTTTAATTTCCAAGTATTCTGCATCAAACTTGGCCTTCCAACTGAAGAAATTCTCAGTTGTAAAAGGAGTGCCATGAAATAATTGCTTTTCAGTTTCTTCTGCTTCTTTTTCTTTTTGTTTCTTTTCTTCTCTTCTAGTTTTTATTTGGTCTACTGTTTCATTTAATTTTTCTTGCACAACTGTTACTAAAGATCATCCTCATACCAGAGTTTTTCTCTGCCTGTAATGCTAATAATTTTAATGTATCTGAGACATCATTATCTTCTAGATTTTCCTGGGAGCATATTTCATAAAGGGGGGCTTTATCAGGATATTTTTTACTGTATGTAAACTTGAGGGCAGTCTGGACAGTGTCATCATTTTCTCCAGCACCAGATGTCATAGTCATGGAGAAGCTGGGTGGATATTCTGATAATATTGTGAAGGAGGGTGGGTAGATGAATTCCGGAGCTTCTTGCTCATTGTGCTGCCCCTCACTGTCATCTGTCATCGTGGCCCTTGCTGCTGCCCATGGATCGACCAGACACCCAGGTGGTGTGCTGCAGTTGGGACCACTGCCGTGCTGGGAGGCCACTGGGTGATTTTTTAATTGGAGTAAGATAGGTATATAACTTACAGGTGTATGACATCATAATTTGACATCTGTAAACACTTCACCCCATGAAGACTCTTGTTACCCTCTGTCACCATATAATTGATCCTTTTCACCCATTTTGCCCACCTCCCACAACTTTATTCTCTGATAACTATCAAAATGTTCTATCTATGAATTTGCTTTTCTATTCTTTTGTTTGTTCATTTTTAAAAAATTTCATATATCATGACACCCTTGAGGTCCATATGTTGTCACAAATGAGAGGACTTTAATCTTCCTTATGGCTGAGTATTATTCCATTATGTATATTTATATCTATCGATTCACCAATCAGTGGACACTTAGATTGTTTCCACAGCTAGGCTATTGTAAATAATGCTGCACTGCATATAGGGTGCATATATATCTTCTGAATTAATGTTTTCATAATCTTCAGATAAATATCTAGAAGTAGACTAGCTGGATTGTATGAAATATATTTTTAGCTTTTCATTTTTTGAGGAATCTTTATATTGTTTTCCATAGTGATTGCAATTGATATTCCCATCGACAGTGTACAAGAGTTTCCTTTTTCTCCACATACTCTCCAACACTTGTTATTTCTTGTCTTTTTGATAATAACCATCCTAATAGGGGTGAGATGGTTTTTATTTGCATTTTCCTAATATTGGAGATGCTGAGCATCTTTTCATGTGCCTCTTGGCCATCTGTATGTCTTCTTTAGAAAAATGTCTGTTGAGATCATCTTCCCATGTTTAATTTGATTTTTGTTTTTTTTATTGTTGAGTTGTGTGAATTCTTTGTATATTTTAGATATTAATCTAATATTGGATACATGATTTCCTAATGTCTTCTCCCATTAAGTGGGCTGTCTTTTCATTTTGATCATGGTTTCCTTTGCTGTGCAGAAGATTTGTTTGTTTGATGTAGTTCCATTTGTTTATTTTTACTTTTGTTTCCCTTTTCTTTGGCATCAGATCCAGAAACACATTACTCAGACTAATGAATGACAAGGGGCTTACTGCCTGTTGCCTTCTAGGAATTGTATGATTTCAGGTCTTACATTCAACTTTTTAATATCTTTTCAGTTAATTTTGTGTATGATGGAAGATAGTGCTCTAATTTCATTTCTGTGCATGTGTTTGTTCAGTTTTCTGAACACCATTTATTGAAGAGACTGTCTGTTTTCCATTGTATGTTCTTGTTCCCTTCGTCATAAATTAATTATCAGTGCATGTGTGGGTTTATTTCTGGGTTCCCAGTTCGGTTCCATTCTGCTGTGTCTGTATGTTACTATTTTGATTACTATACTTTTTGATTTCTATAGCATTATAGTATAGTTTGAAATCAAGGAGCATGATACTTCCAGCTTTCTACTTTGTGCCAAAGACTGCTCTGGCTATTTGGATCTTCTGTGGTTCCATATAAATGTTTAAATTATTTGCCCTATTTCTGTGAAAAAATGTCATTGAAATTTTGATGGGGATTATGGTAAATCTGTAGATTGCTTTGGGTATAATGGATATTTTAATTAAGTCTTCTTCAACTGTTTCATAGAATTCATGTGTGAAATCTTCTAGTACTGGGTTTTTGTGTTTTGGGAGGTTTTTTTAAAATTACTATTTCAGTTTCCTTGCTAAAAATATTTTCTATTTCTTTATGATTAACATAGAAGTATGTGTGTTTTAGGAATTTATCCATTTCTTCTAATTGTCCAATTTGTTGGCACAGAATTGTTCATAATAACTTATGATCCTTTGTGTTTCTGTTATCAGTTGTTACTTCTGTTTTATTTCTGCTTTTATTTATTTGATTCTCTTCTCTTTTTGTCTTCATGAGTCTAACAAAAGGTTTGTCAGTTTTATTTTCAAATATTTCAAATAATCACCTCTTAATTTTATTATCTTTTTAGTTACTGCTTCATTTATTTCTACTCTGATATTTATTATTTCCTTACTTTTACTAACTTTGAGCTTTGCCTTTTCTTCTTTTTCTAGTTCTTTAAGTCTAAATCTAGATTGTTTGAGATTTTTCATGTTTCTCGAGGTAGGCCTATATTGCTATGAACTGCCCTCTTAGAATTGTTCTTGCTGCATAGCATTGATTTTGGTATGTCATAGTTCTGTTTTCATTTGTCTCCAGATATTTTTTGATTTCTCATTTGATTTCTTCAGTGACCCATTGGTTGTTTAATAGCATGTTGTTTAACCCCACTTTTTTGTGTTTTTAAAATGTTATTATAATTGATTTCTAATATCATATCATTGTGATTGGAAAAGATGCTTGATATATTTTCAGTCTTCTTGAACTTATGGAGACCTGTTTTGTGGCATAATGTGAGCTAACCTGGCGAATATTCCATATCACTTGAGAAAAATGTGTTTTCTGCTGCTTTTGATGGAATGTTTTGTATATATCTGTAAGTCCATCTGGTCTAATGTGTTGTTAGTCTTACTGAGGATCATAGCAGGCCTATGATCAGGAGAGTTTGGGGAAACTACTTGGAAGCCATTTGTCTGAAGACAGCTTGTATTCCTTTCTACAACAGGAAATATGTGCAGGAAAGTTATATTAATCAGTACATCAGAGCAGTGTGTCAAGGATGCATCTGGTCTGTGTTTTGAAAGAATAGATTATGCACATTCTGATGCTATCTGTGTGTGAGAAGAGACAAAGATGAAGATTGTTATTAATTCTCCTAAAGAATTCTATATGATAACCAGATTTCCTTCCATTTTAAACTTTCCTGAGAAGTCCCAGGCTGTTTCTCTTCTGGTCATGGGTGAAGCATTGTGACAGTCTTGCTGAAACAGGTGAGAACAGCTGCATGGCTTCTTCACAGCACAGAATGAGTTGTCTTGGCTGACTTTGAACCTCTAGAGCTTCCATGGTTCTCCTTGCCTGTGGGACCCTCATGGGGGTCCATAAAAATTTCATTTTATTTCACAGGTACAACAAACAATAAATACAACACAACCCTTACCAGATAAACCTAACTCCTCACTCTAAAGGTATATTTACCTCAGTTTCTATTACCCAATACATTATGTCTGTCTTCAACAAAAAATTATAGGTGTATTAAACAGCTAGAGAAAACACAATCTAAAAGACAAAGCAAACAACAGAACCAGACTTGCAAATTAGAGGTTTGGAATTAGAAGGTAGGGAAGTCAAAGTAACTGTGATTAATATGCTAAAAGCCCATTGGAAAAAGTACAAAACGTGTAAGAACAGCTAAGCAATGTAGGCAGAGATATAGAAACTCTAAGAATTAAAAGGAAATGGTAGAAATCAAAACCTCTGTAATAGTGCTGAAGAATACCTTGATTCTTACACCTGAAGAAAGTATCAGTGAGCTTTAGCATGTATCAGTAGAAACCTCCCAAACTGAAATTCAAAGATAAAAAGAATAGGAAAAAAGAAACAGAAGAGATGTCTAAGAACTATAGGACAATTACAAAAGGTAATACATACAGAGCAAAAAAAGTAAAGGATCAGAAAAAATATTTTAAGTAATTATAAAAAGTGGCTGAGAAATCTCCAAGTACACGTTTTTAATATCAGACATCAAACTGCAGATCTCGGAACATCAGAGAACACCAAACAGCATAAATACCACTGCCCCGCCTCCCCCCAATTTATAACTAAGCATAGCTTACTTTAAAATGCAAAAAAAAAATCCCAAAGGCAACAAGAAAATCTCGAAAGAAGCTGGGGCAGTGGGGGAGGGGAGGCAGAGAGTGCAGCGATCCCTTACTTATAGAGGAACAAGAAACAATAAGAATTCCATGAGGGTTCTCTTCAAAAATGATTTGAGCTAGAAGAGAATGGAGTGAAACGTTAAAAGTGTTGAAAGAAATAGCTATACTGGAATTTTGTATCCAGTGAAAATTTTCTTTCAAAATGAAGGAAAAATAAAGATCTTCTCAGACGACAAAAACTGAGGGAATTTACCAGCAGACCTAACTTACAAGAAAGATTAAAAGTTCTTCAGAGAGAGAAAAATGAAATTCAGATCTACATAATCAGAAGCATGTTAGAGAAAAAAATAAATGAAGGTAAAATAAACACGTATTTTTTTATCCTTAATTGATCTCCTTGATAGCCTTGTTCAAAATAATATCAACAATGTATTGTGTAATTATAGCTTATGGATAAGTGAACTGGATGACAGAAATATTTTAAGCAAGAGTAGGGAAGAATTGAGGACAGTAAATTATAAAGTACCTACACTATCCATGAAATAGTATAATGTTATTCAAAAGTGAACTTAGATAGTTGCAAATGGATATGGCAAATTTTAGGACATCACACTTAAAAAATTTTTTTTAATTAAGTATAATTGATATGCTAAGAGACTAGACAAAGTGGAACCATACCAAATACCCAATTACTATCACAGAAGGCAGAAAAAGAGTAGGAGATGAAGAACAAAGGCAACTAATAGAAAATAGTTACAAATATTATGATTATTAGTCCAAATGTTTCAATAATCACAATAAATATAAATGATTTATTATATCAAATAAAATAGACTGTCAGAGTGAATAAACTAATAACTATTTTTCTACAAGAAACCCACATTCAGTATAAATACACATATAGATTAAAGGAATGGAGAAAGATACATCATGGTAACAAAAATCTAAAAAATGCAGAAGTGGCTGTGTTAATTTCAGACAAAGCATGCTTTGAACAAGGAAACATCTGAGATAAAGAGGCATTGCATAATAATAAGGGGGTCAATTGTCTAAGAAGACTTAATAATCTTTAATGGATATTGAAAGGAAAGGAGCGACACACAGCAGCAATTCACGGGAGAATTCCGCTTTATTAGGGAAAGGTGCTGGGTTATATAGGAAGGGGCATGAATTGATTGAGGTGTCATTTCTACG